GCTGGCATTCCTGTGGTGAGGGAGTTCCTTGAGGTGCTTCCTGAGGAGATTCCTGAGTGTCCGCCACAGAGGGAGATAGAGTTCTCCATAGATCGTTGCCTGGTATGGGCCTATTGCATTAGCTCCATACCGGATGCCGCCACCAGAGTGGGCAGAGTTGAAGTAGTGTTCTGAGGGTCTTTCGGCGAAAGACTTCTTCGACCGAGCGTGTCTCCTTGGGAGCACCGGTCATTTTTATTGTAAGGTAAGATGCCTTACGCCATTACTTAAGCGTAATGGTGCTCTGTTTGAGGATGTGAAATTCTCTTCGGGGAAGCTGAGTGTGTAACACTTGGAATTTGAGGCAAGGGCCACGCGTGTCTTGTATATGCGAGGCAGAGCATGAACAAGTGGTCGTGAGTTGAGTGGTCTCCATGACTCTAGGATTTTATGTTGATTTCGTTAAGCTCTGTAAGTAGTCGGCATATTAACACCAGGGGTAGTGTTAAGCATGAAATGAGTACAATGAACTGGGATAATACATCAATGTTATTTCACCTTTGACTAACTCTCCATTTTGCAGATACCATGGAGATTGAGGTATACCGTTATGTAAAGTTTTTAGCTATTATTGTTATTGAAATTGGAAATTTTGCAGGTGTACGTGAACTAAGGTACGTTAGTATGTAAATGACCTGGTTAACTAACATGTATTGATGGAATTGAACATGATTATGATTTAACACTTTGAACTGAATAAGAATTCATTTTGAGGGTATTGATTTTTATTGCATGTCTTGTTGAGGTTAGAGTCATGGAATAGGACCCAACTCACTCGAGTGTTGTGTAGTTTGAGTGTGTGGGGTAGGTCACCTCTATTGAGGGAATGATTGATGATCCCAGAGAATCGGATAACGTCGTGACGTCATTGTGGAATTTTGAGTTTTGGCAGTGACTTCCTTGTTTGGGGGTGCACTTCTCGAGATGGAGATTATGAGAGTCTAGAACGAGCATGTGGAGAAGAACCAGAACGGTGTCTTTGATTGAGATGGGGCATTGTTGCCGATTGCCCTATTGTGGGGATCCCCGAAGGTGAAGATCGAACACCAGAAGCCGTTGATGAGCTTCAATTTCTTGATGTACCGCAAGGGAAGTGGAAAAGTATTTCTATGGACTTCGTTGTGGGTTTGCCGAAGACTCAGGCTAACTGTGACTCTTTTTGGGTCTTTGTGGACAGATTGTCAAAGTCTGCCCACTTTCTTTCAGTAAGGGTGAGCACGTGTTTGTGAAACTTTCACTGTCACCGGTGTTGTGCGGGAACTCGGAGTGAGGAAACTGAGCTCGGGATTCATTGGGCCATACCAGTTACGTGGTAGAATAGAACATGTTGTCTACCGGTTTGCCTTATCTCTGAACTTGACCAACACCCACGACATGTTTTACGTGTCTCAACTTCGCAAGTTGTAGCAGATCTTTCGCACGTGGTGCAACCGGATACTGTGGAAGTTTGGGAGAACTTGAAAACTCTCGTCGAACCACTCAAGTTTCTCGATCGTGGCGAGAAGAAGCTGAGTAGCGAGATCATTTCGAGGGTCAGAGTATGTTGAACGGGAAGAATTCCTGAAGGGTAATCCTGGAAGCGAGAGGACGAGCTTCTCCGGCAGTATCTCGCGCATCGAGACAGGTAAGTTTCCTAATTTTGAGGGCAAAATCCTAAAAATGTGGGGTGAATGTAAGAACCTGCACCGTTAATTAAGGGATTTAATTAATTAATTATGTGAAATTAGGAAATAATTCCATAATTGACCCTAATAATTATTATGAGGCTTTAATAATTATAATTAGTGAGTAAGAATGCTGAAAGTCGCTTTTCAGAAGAAAAGTGCAGATACCGGTTCTGCTAGTCGGTATAAATGCGTACCGAAAAAGTATCCTGGAAAATTATAAAAAGTGCATGATAATTATTAGAATAATATATAGGACTTGTGAAACGAGTTTCAAGTTAAAATAATGAGAACTGGTGCCAGAACTGATAATGGCTATGGAAAAGCGCGTACCGGAAAGGTGCTCCGAGAAATATAATAAAAATATGATAATTCTTGTAAAATTGAGTAGGTTAAGAATCCTGAGTTTGGGATTAAAATGCTAAGCGTAGAAATTAAAGTTAATACTGTGTGTTTAATTGTTAAATGGCTATATAAGTGATGGGCACATGATCCTAGGTCAGATTTCACATTTTCCTACGTGACCTTTGGTGCCTCCATTTATGAGTTTGGCTCTCCTTAGCTTGTCACCTCCATTTTCTTGAAGAAAAAGCCCAAGTAATCACCTTTTCTCCACTCTTGATCCTTCTAAACACCTTAGCCTTGTGAGTTTGAGTCTTGTGAAGGTGTGGGAAAGGTGTTTCTTTTCTGAGTTTGCCTCTTTGAGTGTTGTGTAAGGGCTGACTTGCTAGTTGAGGTTGTGGGAGCTTGATGCTTGCTTTGATAGGTTCTTGTAGTGACCTTTGAGGAGAAAGAACTCATCTTGTTGGTTCATTTTCGTTTCTTGAAGAAGTCAGAACCTTTGAGTTGTCTTGTGAGCTCCAAGAGCACCCTTTGTTGGCTGGTTGAGCACTCATATATGTGATGTATGTTCAGTTTTATAAATTGTAAAATAAACTAAAGAATTCTATGCAGGTATGGGACTGTGTAGATAATATAAAAATATAAATGGTAAATGGAAAAAGTTAAGTCTTCCGCTTCAGGATTTGATTATCCACGCTTAAAAGTACAATACATAAGTTAACAATCCGATTATAAAATTGGGGCGTTACATTTTGGTATCAGAGCAAAAGGTTCTAGGGAAGAAACCTAGTATAGGTGATTAAGAGAGGTCATTGATTAGTGATTCCTAGTATTTAACATGACGATACATTATTAGATACAGAGTATGAGTTTGGCCGACTCATTCTTTGGTTTGATGATTATGGAATCATGATAAACTCCAGGATATTCTTTGACAAATTTCTTAGATATAGAATGTCATCACGAGGATAGAGTATGTTTAAGGAATGATTTGATGATAATTATGGATATTAGGTTAAGTGTGAATAACTGATGTGAATTTATGATAAATCTTTAGCAATAAGGTTATATAGTGAGTGATGATTGTAGCATTAGTAATAACAGAAAATTTGAGGAAAATTTTGAGTTAGAAAGGGGTACAAGAAATTGTTGTAAATAGGCAAGCTGATCAGGAGATGTAAAATGTTATGATCCAAGAGAAAGGAAATTGAGCATGTGCAAGGAGTAATAGCTCTTGTCAGTTGGTTAGGTTATGACTAAGATATTATTTTCATAAGGATAGTAGAGGAGTTCAAAATCATGTCCAAGATAATATATTATTTGGTGAATATTTGGTTGAGTTAGCAGAGTATTTTGTCAGAGGGAATATTGCTTGATTTTGATGATTTATTTAAGAAATGTTCATAAGAAGTTGAATGAGGATATCACAAGTAAGATTTCAGATATTAAATTAGTGATTGTCAGTAAATTAGTTAGATAGTGCTAAGAAAGTGATGTTAGAAAAAAATTAAGTATGGAACAAAATGGAACAAATATATGTTTTATATACAGAAAAGAAATGGAGAAATAAGATTGTTATCATAGAAAGGTGTCTACCAGAGGAAATTTCTTAGAAGTGAGAGGAACAGAATCTTCAGTTGATGCTGGAATTTTCTGACAGGTATAATGTATATCGATATTATAATCAATTAGAGTGTATATAAGGTAAACAAGGTTGAATTGATTAAATTATCTAGTTCATAAGAACATTGAGTAAATTATCCATGAAAGATGTATCTAAATAAGTTGATCATTGAGAATTGCTTACAGGAACTTATGTGATGATTAGTTATCTGACATTTGTGTTTTTGATTTTGAGGGCAAAATCTTTAAAAAGGTGGGGTGAATATAACAACCCTCAAAAGTAAGTTTAGCTAATTAAGGAATTTAGCAAATAATTAAGAATTAAGTATATATTTAAAAAGATAGTGTCTAGTTAATCATGTAATTAGCATGATTATGAATGTAAGGGCAAATTGGTAAATTGGCAAAGACATGGCCTAAACTAGATTCTGATAGTAAAATCAAATTCTTTAGGAAATTTCATGAATTTTAAGTGGTATAAAGGTATGTTAATTATGAGTAGAATAATTATGAAAAATAAGTTAAAGTTAGAGAAAATGAAAAACAGTAGAGTTATTTCAAATAAAGGTTAAATGGTGTATTGTCTAAGTTTCTCAGTTACCTTTCTTGTTATCAAGTAATTTTAGTTTTCTTGTCAGTTAAGTAACCTTACTTGTTGGTCAAAGTACGTTACTTGTTCAACAAGTTACCTCAATAACTTAGCCATTAAGTTTCAATTACTTAGTCGTTAAGTTGAGTTTACTTAGTCATTAAGTTATTCCGATAGCTTCTTCAGGAAGTCACGTCTCAATTGCTTAGTCATTAAGATTGGTTTACTTAGTCACTAAGTTACCAAGATAACTTCTTCAAGAAGTCACATAGCTTACTTGTTCAACAAGTCATCTAGTAGCTTGTCCTACAAGTTACCTAGATAGCTTCTTCATCACACTACATTTCAAGACTTAGTCACTAAGTTTCATGAAAACTTAGTCACTAAGTTAGCTTATTCTACAAGTTTAGTTACTTAGTTCTTAAGTTACGTAAGTAGCTTCTCCATGACACTACTTGAGTTGCTTAGCCACTAAGTTAAGTGTGACTTTTCTTCCAAGTTAAGTTAACTTACTCATTAAGATAGCTTACTCACTAAGTTAACTTGGTCACTAAGATGACTTGTTCACTAAGTTAACTTGCACGCTAAGTAAGGTGATTTGGTCACCAAGTCATAGAAGCTTGCTCGCTAAGTTATCTTCCACGAGAAGCCTTCTCCTTTCTTCTTGGATTTCACGGCCTTATGCCTATATATAGGCCATCATCCAAGAGCACTTTCTTCATGGTTTTAGGCGCACATGTCAAGAGAGAATAGAGTGAGATTTTCATCATGTTTTAGTTGTTTTCTTCAAAAATCCTATTTCATGAAAGTTATAGTATAGGATCCTGTGATCATAGCCTTGGTCTTAGAACATCTATAGGAGTTCATATGAGTGAGATATGGCCACCTTTAGCCACGAGCTCCTTGATGCCACCTTGAAAAAGGATGGTTTTTTTGAAGTCTGTTCGGTTCTAAGTTGATTTCTGGGTCCCGTTAACCTATCTAAGGTATAAACTCTCAATTTCTACGATTAGAATTGTTAAATTAAGCTTCTATCTATCAATTTATGGGTCTTTTATCAAAATGATTTTGAAAGAATTCATATGGTCTTGTATGATGGTTTTTATGAAGTTTTAGTGTTTGTATAAGTTTTTAATCGGTAAAAGTCTAAGTTGAACGGTTTAGAAATGAAAAATGATGATCTTAAAGCATGTGTATATTTTGAATATGTGATGTAAAATTAAGTAAGTTAAAGATTTTTATAAGTTGTATTAAGGTTATTTTAAGTTGTTTTAAGAGATAAGTTATAGTTAAGTTAAATTAAAAGGTAGGAAATTTGTAAGTTTGTTTCTAAATCTATGTTTTGGATATGTTAGAATTTTCAGTAGAAAGTCTACGTTATGTTAATATGGGAAGTCTAGATGTTTAATATAGAGACTTGTTGCTTGGCATAAATAAATAAGTAAGATTATGTAAGTAAGGAAGATTTCGAACTATGCTTGGAAAACGTAGATTTCTACAAGTATAAGAAAGTTTTGGATTGATAATTAATGATGTCCATGTTTATGTATTTTAGTTTGGAATCAAGAAAAGTGATTTAAGCGGATCAGTTTCAAGTATTAAGTATAAGGAAAGCTGCTTACAGGTAAGCTTTTGGTTTAAGGAGTTTTCTCCTTTCTTGTTGATCCACCATAATCCAGTGGGATGATGGTTAGGATATCTGTATGTTTGTATATTTTATATGTCAGATACTTTGTATAGTTGCATTCATGTAGACTATATATGATATGATAAGATATGATAAGTATGGTTCTTGATCAATGAACAACTCTGTGGGGGGACTTCGGTTCTCGGAGAATAAGTGTGGACTGGTCAAAGTGAGAAATTACGCTTTGGGAGTCTTCTGATAAGTTATAAGTTATGATATGTTTATATGATGTATGCTATGCTCTGTATCTAACCTTTCATACAGTAAGTGAACTCATGGGTGGAGATTACTTCATAAACCCAGAGTCTTATTGGGATTAATTTCTCACCCGTCGTGGGCTGTGATTTAAATCACAGGTACATCAGTAGCAGGAGAGCCTCAAAAGGGCAAGGACAAGTGCAGTGAGGACAGAGGACTCAACAGGAGTGGACACTTAGTTATTTGAACTACTGTATATGACATGTTTTGATACTGCATAAAGTATATGATTATGCAATATATGTCATGTATGTTCAGTTTTATAAATTGTAAAATAAACTAAAGAATTCTATGCAGGTATGGGACTGTATAGATAATATAAAAATATAAATGGTAAATGGAAAAAGTTAAGTCTTCCGCTTCAGGATTTAATTATCCACGCTTTAAAGTACAATACATAAGTTAACAATCCGATTATAAAATTGGGGCCTTACAGTAGGCTATTGGGGGTTTGTGGACCCTAGATTGATGAAGTTAAACTTCTGTAATTAATGAACTAAGTCAGAATCATGTGATTAAGGGCTTATGGCTTTGAGGAAAGCCTTAAGACGTAAAACGTAAAAGGAAAACGTAGTCTTTACGTTAATGCTTTTGAGCTATGTATGTTGATTTGCTTGCGGGTCCTAAATCAGATTGTGATCTGTTGTGTGTTGGACTTGGGCTGTGAGGACTCTTGGATTGGATAGTTAGCTTAAAAGGTAAGCTTTTGTGTCCTCGGTTTAGCCATGTTGTGGTTCCACCATGTCCCATGGGGGTATGGTTATAAGCATGCTGTGTTACATGCTTTTGATGTTTTGGAAATGCTGTTGAGCTGTTATATGCTAGTGCCTTGTTGATATGCATGTGGTGTTCCACCTATACGGTAAGCCTGAGTATGTAGTACATACAAGATGGTGAGGCTGTGGGTGAGGTGCAAGCGGTGTTCCTTGTACTACATGTAGGTATAGACGTATTCCTGCATTTCTCTGGCCAGTAGAATAGTGATTACACACATGTCATAGATATCTGTTGCACTGCATAGTTTTGGAACTTATATTGAATAACTGCTTTTAGAACTTATATTGAACATGTAAGTGAGCTTGGGGAGGAAGATCCTTGAGGACCCCTTGTGTTACTGAGATTTCTTGTTTAGAGATCTCACCCCACGTTTGGGGCGCTTATTTCAGGTTTAGGTAATGCTGAGACCTCAGGCGGCAGGAGGCCGGAGCTGAGTTAGATTTGCTGTTATATTATGCTGACATGTTGGATGCTGGATATGCATGCTGCTTTATGCTTTTAGTTCGTTTATGATTTATGATTATCTTGTCGAGACGTTGTTGATTTGGTGAGCATGTGGATTGTCCATGACACATAGTCTTGTTTATGTCTTTAGTTATTTGGAGTTGTAATAATGTATCAGGATTATTGTCCGGACTACGAGTTGTAGATCCGTGACGTAGATACTCACTTTATTTATATTTTGAGGTATTTCAGTAGATGTCTTATTGCAATTTACATACATGCGATGTTTTTATGAAATTGATTAAGTAATCAAGATGGTAATTGATAATGACGTTATAATTTAAAAGAAAAAGAATATTCCACATTTTTAATTAAGCACCACTTAATACGATGTAATGTTAATATTCCGGGTATACACGAGGTGTTACACAAATCATTGCAAAAAAATTATTATGTACATAAAATCTTGATAGTTAAAGGTTGCAAAATGGGCTTGGCCCGAGGGCCTGCCCGCCCCGCATGCCAACAAGTTTTTATAATTAAATTGAAATTTCACTGTTCTTCTTTTATAATTAAATTTCTAAATTTGATTTCAATTTTAAATTTGTAGAATTTTAGTAAATTCTTGCAAAAAAATAATGATTTCTTATTATTTTTTAAATCTAATTGTAATAAATAAAAGTTCATCTCTGAGATAAAATATAAAAACCTAGACGCAACTATAAGAGTTTTTTGTGTGGATAAATATAAAAATCTATTATATGCTGATAGTTAGAGGTGGCAAACTAGGCTCGGCCCGGAGGGCCGGCCACCAACATATTTTTATAATTAAATTAAAATTTCATTCTTTTTTTATAATTAAATTCATAAATTTTTGTAAATACAAATTTGTAAAATTCTAAATACAAATGACACAAATCCTTGCAAAAATAATTATTTATTATTATTTTTTAAATGTGATTGTAATAAATGAAAGTTCATATTTGAAATAAAATATAAAAACCTAAATATATGACGATAAGAACATTTTTTTGTGGATAAATATAATATTACATGTTGATTGTTAGATGTGGTAAGTTGGGCCTCGGCCTGGAGGGCCGACCCACCAACACACAGACCACAAAGAGCTGATTTATAGGCAACATAAAAAATATAGATATATATTGATCTAGATGCAACTATAAGAATAATTTTGTGTTGATAAAAATAAAAACATATAAATGCTGACAGTTAGAGGTGACAAACTAGTTCCGGCCCGGAGCGCCAGCCCAACAACTTAATTTTTATATTTAAATTAATATTTCATCATTATTCTTTTATAATTAAATTCTTAAATCTGATTTCAATCTTTGTAAATATAAATTTGTAAAATTCAAAATACTAAGGGCACAAATCCTTGCAAAAGAATTATTATTTACATAAAATGTTGATAGTTAAAGGTTGCAAACTGGGCTTGACCCAAGGGCGTGCCCGCCCCGCCTGCAACAAGTTTTTATAATTAAATTAAAATTTTTCTATTCTTCTTTTATAATTAAATTCCTAAATCTGATTTCAATTTTTGTAAATACAAATTTGTAAAATTTTAAATACTAACGAAACAAATCCATGCAAAAAAATAATGATTTCTTATTATTTTGTAAATCTAATTGTAATAAATGAAAGTTCATCTCTGAGATAAAATATAAAAATCTAGACGCAACTATAAGAGCCTTTTTTGTGGATAAATATAAAAATCTATTACATGCTGATAGTTAGAGCTGGCAAACTAGGCTCGGCCACCAACATATTTTTATAATTAAATTAAAATTTTATTCTTCTTCTTTTATAATTAAATTCATAAATCTGGTTTTAATTTTTGTTAATACAAATTTATGTTCCAAATACTAATGACACAAATCCTTGCAAAAAATAATTATTTATTAATATTTTTTAAATGTGAGTTGTAATAAATGAAAGTTCATATTTGAGATAAAATATAAAAACCTAAATGCGATTATGAGAACATTTTTGTGTGGATAAATATAAAAATCTATCACGTGTTGATTGTTAGATGTGGCAAATCGGGCCTCGGCGCCCACCAACACTTTTTTATAATTAAATTAAAATTTCTTCTTTCTTCTTTTATAATTAAATTCCTAAATCTAATTTTTATTTTTGTAAATACAAATTTTTAAAATTTCAAATGCTAATGACACAAACCGTTACAAAAAATAATTATTTATTATTATTGTGTAAACTTGTTGTAAGAAATGAAAGTCCATCTTTGAAATAAAATATAAAAACCTAAATGCAAATATAAGAATATTTTTTTATGGATAAATATAAAAACCTATTACATGCTGATAGTTAGAGATGGCAAACTGGGCTCAGCCCGGAGGGCCGACACACCTACTTATTTTTAAAATTAAATTAAAATTTCATACTTCTTCTTTTATAATTAAATTCCTAAATTTGATTTCAATTTTTGTAAATACAAATTTGTAAAAATCAAAATACTATGACACAAATCCTTGCAAAAAAATAAATATTTATTATTATTTTATAAATCTAATTGTAATAAATGAATGTCAATCTCTGAGATAAAATATAAAAATTTAGATGCAACTATAAGAATTTTTTTATGTGGATAAATATAAAAACGTATTACATGCTGTTATATAATGCTGACAATTAGAGGTTACAAACTGGACTCGGTCCGGAGAACCAGCTCACCAATATTTTTTTATAATTAAATTAAATTTTCGCCTTTCTTCTTTTATAATTAAATTTCTAATTCTGATTTTAATTTTTGCAAATACGAATTTGAAAAATTCCAAATACTAACGACACAAATCTTTGCAAAAAATTATTTATGTATTATTAATTTGTAAATTTGATCTTTCTAAATGAAAGTTCATCTCTGGAAAATACTGAAAGAAATTGAGTCAAACTTTGTAATTTTTGAATGACCACATGACAAGGTAAAATGCAGCAATATACTTTTATGTGTTGTGTTAATTTTTACGAGACAAACAAATCGATTTTTTCTTCGTGCAACGGATAATACACTAGTATATATATATAAAGGGATAGGTTATTCTGCCTACTCTTTTTTTGCCTACCTCTCTCAACATCGTTAGATTACAATCTCATCCAACGATAGAGATTTATGATATAAAATAAACTCTTTTACCATTTTGTCTCTCCCATTGCCTCTCACTCTTTCTCTCTCCTCTTTTTTCTCTTTCTTTAATGGCATTTCAGTATCAAAAAAAGGTGCAAGCTTTTTTCTTCATCCAACCCAGCCATTGTTATAAGCATTTATATAAAAAATTGAAATAGGATGTCAAAAAGAAATTATCTCATATACCCTATGTTATGGAACCAGGTAGGCCTATTGTTGGGCGTAACATAGAGAGAACAGAGATCATTTTTCAACTTCAAGGTGAGAAACAAGATAAGAAGAAGGAGATAAGTTGATTCATTTCAAATTTCAATAGAAGTGTTACAGTAATCGTGGATTAATTCAAATGAAAGGTTATTTGTGGTTTTTTTGTTGTTGTAATTTTGTGGTTTCTGCAGTGTTGAATTATGTCAGATTCAAAAAAATTTGAAAATTATATTCCTCCAACAGAACTATCATGTCATTAATCATTGCATGCATTTAGATTCAAATATAAACTCAGGTTGTAAATTACGCAAATCGATAGAGAGAAAGGGAGGAGAGAGAAAGAGTGTGGGAGGCAGGGAGGAGAAAGAAAATGGAAAAAGGTTTATTTTATTATGCAAATCTCCACCGTTAGATGAGATTGTAATCTAACGGTATTGAAATGCGTAGACAAAGGTAGGCAAAATAAGAGTAGGCAGAATAATATATATATATATATATATATATATATATATATATATATATATATATATATATATATATATAGGGGAGAGATCTTTTGACTCTAAAGTAAGACTTACAAGTCTTACTCCTCATCTCAATCGTTGATTTCCGTCCATCTAACGGTTATCTATACCAATGAATTAATTACTAATTTCAAATAAATAATAACAGTTAGATGGACAGAAATTAACGGTTGAGATGGAGAATAAGATTTGTAAGTCTTACTCTAGAGTCAAAAGATCCATCCTCATATATATATATATATATATATATATATATATATATATATATATATATATTCTGCCTACTCTTATTTTGCCTACCTTTGTCTACGCCTTTCAATATCGTTAGATTACAATCTCATCCAATGGTGGAAATTTATTATATAAAATAAACTCTTTTACTCTTTTCTCTCTCTCACTGCCTCTCATTCTTTCTCTCTCCTCCCCTTTCTCTCTCTTCAATGGCGCTTCAGCATCAAAAACAGATGCAAGCTTTTTTCTCAATTCATCCAACCCAGTCATTGTTATGAGCATTTATATAAAAAATTGAAAAGGGGTGTCAAGAAGAAAC